GCTATTTTAGGGTTGTATCTGAGGAGGTGGCAGTGCTCCAGTTGTATTCTACTCCAAGGTGACATAGTATCTTTTCTTTTGCCCTTATCTAACCCTTCTTATCCCCTCTTCTCCATCTCCAGCCTCCCTGTATTTCAACCTAACACCCGACTGCCTTTCCCCTACCACCTACAATTACTTTCCACTCACTCGAACTGCACCCTAACACCCTGCCGCCCCTTACCTGCAAACTACCTTCGCTACCCACCCAGTGCCCCGACCCCCACCCTAAGCCCCTGCCGCCCTTCTCTGCAGCTTCTCCTTGCTGTCTAGCCCTCCAACCAGCACTCCAGCCCATCTACCAGACCTCCAAAACCCCTTCCCGTCCCATCTGACAACCCCCCTCTCTCTCTCTCTTGAATCTCTTCTTTCTGGTCCTAGCAAGAGATTAGTCTGTTGTAGTTTTCCCCTTTTCATTGCGTCGTGTTGTAACCCTATTTCCATGTTAATAAAATTTTTGTATTCTGCTAAATACAAGAGCAGCTTGTTAATGCATTAGGGATTTTATCATATAATCTTTGTTTTCATCTATCTTTAATAGCTATTCTTTTGAACCATTGAATAGATTAAAGAGCAGCTTGTTAATGCATTAGGGATTTTATCATATAATCTTTGTTTTCATCTATCTTTAATAGCTATTCTTTTGAACCATTGAATAGATTAAAGAGCAGCTTGTTAATGCATTAGGGATTTTATCATATAATCTTTGTTTTCATCTATCTTTAATAGCTATTCTTTTGAACCATTGAATAGATTAAAGAGCAGCTTGTTAATGCATTAGGGATTTTATCATATAATCTTTGTTTTCATCTATCTTTAATAGCTATTCTTTTGAACCATTGAATAGATTAAAGAGCAGCTTGTTAATGCATTAGGGATTTTATCATATAATCTTTGTTTTCATCTATCTTTAATAGCTATTCTTTTGAACCATTGAATAGATTAAAGAGCAGCTTGTTAATGCATTAGGGATTTTATCATATAATCTTTGTTTTCATCTATCTTTAATAGCTATTCTTTTGAACCATTGAATAGATTAAAGAGCAGCTTGTTAATGCATTAGGGATTTTATCATATAATCTTTGTTTTCATCTATCTTTAATAGCTATTCTTTTGAACCATTGAATAGATTAAAGAGCAGCTTGTTAATGCATTAGGGATTTTATCATATAATCTTTGTTTTCATCTATCTTTAATAGCTATTCTTTTGAACCATTGAATAGATTAAAGAGCAGCTTGTTAATGCATTAGGGATTTTATCATATAATCTTTGTTTTCATCTATCTTTAATAGCTATTCTTTTGAACCATTGAATAGATTAAAGAGCAGCTTGTTAATGCATTAGGGATTTTATCATATAATCTTTGTTTTCATCTATCTTTAATAGCTATTCTTTTGAACCATTGAATAGATTAAAGAGCAGCTTGTTAATGCATTAGGGATTTTATCATATAATCTTTGTTTTCATCTATCTTTAATAGCTATTCTTTTGAACCATTGAATAGATTAAAGAGCAGCTTGTTAATGCATTAGGGATTTTATCATATAATCTTTGTTTTCATCTATCTTTAATAGCTATTCTTTTGAACCATTGAATAGATTAAAGAGCAGCTTGTTAATGCATTAGGGATTTTATCATATAATCTTTGTTTTCATCTATCTTTAATAGCTATTCTTTTGAACCATTGAATAGATTAAAGAGCAGCTTGTTAATGCATTAGGGATTTTATCATATAATCTTTGTTTTCATCTATCTTTAATAGCTATTCTTTTGAACCATTGAATAGATTAAAGAGCAGCTTGTTAATGCATTAGGGATTTTATCATATAATCTTTGTTTTCATCTATCTTTAATAGCTATTCTTTTGAACCATTGAATAGATTAAAGAGCAGCTTGTTAATGCATTAGGGATTTTATCATATAATCTTTGTTTTCATCTATCTTTAATAGCTATTCTTTTGAACCATTGAATAGATTAAAGAGCAGCTTGTTAATGCATTAGGGATTTTATCATATAATCTTTGTTTTCATCTATCTTTAATAGCTATTCTTTTGGGAGCTTGAAGTATGTGCTCATAATCTTTTATTTCATCATATTGAAAAATGTATTGAGATTTTGATAAGCTCAAAATATTTATAGCTTTATCTCAACCTATTCTCATCTGAAAAGTATTCTTGACTTCTTTTAGGTCCTTCATGTTGCACAAATACAAACTCACAAACACATTCTTTCGGTAACTTGGTCAATATCGAAGTATTCATTTTGCAGAGAAAATCCATCTCTTTTTAATTGCATAACTTTTTTCATATCATTCAGATTCACTTGCATCAATTAGTAGCACGTAATACAGAGAAGGAGACTATTGATTAATAGATATTGAAATTTTTTTGTGATCTCCTGCCTTCTATCACAAGAATTTTCTCCTTTCTTTTATCAAAATTAAGTAGCTCTTTTAATTCAACCTACTTTTGGTGAAGATTTCTTTTTCAAACTTGTTGGGCCTGTCTTTATACATATTAGTTGAAAATAAGATTCCCATTTTTTGTTATTTTCTGGTTTTTCTCATCACATAATTTATAGCCAAAGTCATTAGTACTATAACCAATAAAATTGTATTTAGATTTAGGGTCAACTTTGTCTCTTTCATTATTTGTACATAAAAATGCATTTAAAAATTTTCAAATGAGAAAAGCATCTTCTTTCCATTCGAAGCTTCTTTAGGAAACCCAAAATCACACGCTATGGTTGAGCCTATATTTATTGCATCTGTCCAACATATTTTTATTAGTTCTACAAGAAGTCGCATGCTCTTAACCCTTTCATCCAAAGAAGTGTTCTTTTTTTTACCATTCTCTTTCAGAGTTTCTAAGACCATTCTCTCCATATGAATCCATTAGCAATACAGTAATTTTTGAATTCTATGTAATCATACTTTCCTTGATTATCGGATTGCAGGTATTGAATTTTGCTCCAGTTTCATATGGATAATGCTAGTGTTATGTAGACAAAATTAAGTTTTTGGAGCCACAATCTAAAATCTTGGCAATTAGATTTTTAGGACTTCTAGAGCTTGAAAATATTTAGTACCAGTTGTTAGAATGGTGACAGAATATTAAGCGAAACAAAACAAAGACAAATTAAATAAACCAAAAATTACAATCATAAGATGGACGAGTTTATGTGATAATGATATTCATCTACGTCTAGTGTCATACACAAAGATCAAATATTCAACTATGTTTTAAAAATGAGTATATTAAAGATTTTTTTTTCTATACATACAAGTATAAGGATAGAAATTTCACTCTTGGTTAAAGACAGACGGAATATAGCCACCTACTATGGAAACAAGGGCTAAATCTAACAAGAAAAAACCTGCTGCTCTTACTATTTTTTCTTGTCTCTTACATGAGCTTCATCCTTTCTTCTTTCCTCTACTGCAAGGCTTTCTTTTTTCTATAGTTGAAAGCTTAAGCCTATTTTTCCTTCTCTCCTTATTTTTTTTTATTTTTATTTGTGTAATGCTATATCTCATTGGGGCCATCTCTTAATATATTACTCGAAAGTGTTATGTAGTAAGATGACATTTATTTGGTAGTTGGCAGTTGATATCATGATATATATGTTCTGTAAGTGATGATATGTAATGAATTTATAGGAGTTCTTTTGAAAGTGGTTGGAAAGGCAATTTCATTCATATTTTTTACTTGAAGTTCATTGGTTTTTTTAGCCAATATATGTAGGAAAATTGCATTAAGTATATGTAATTATGTATTCTGCATTTTAGGAGAATTTTTTCGTGAGTGATATTTTTCTATTCATAATGTTTCAGTGCACCGTTTTTCTGTCATCATTCTCTATTGCAATGAGATGAGTATTTTTTTTCCTTGTTATCGAGAAGATTTTATTACCGGATAGAAATTAGTGTTTTAAATTCAACTGTATATAATTCTGTAATTTTCTTGCTTTTATTGGAGTAGTCGCATAGATGTAAAAATGTGCATATCATGTTACTAACCCTTGAGCTGTTGATCATAGCTCTAAAGTTCTATAATTTTTTAAATTTTTAATTTGTGATTTATACTGCTCTCAATCTAATGTTCAAAGCTTGCACTTTTAAAAATATTGTCTCCGTTACTTCCCTCAATAAAATACATTATGATAGAAGTGTGCAAATTTATTAACCGGCATGACAAGCAAATTTATCTCAATAATCAATTCCTGTCGTTAGATTCTATTTTGAAGATAGCCATTCCCTATATATAACTAAGTCTACAGAATTCTCGTTTTTTATGTCTATTTTTTAATTCTATAATTGTTTGGTGTGAAGGATGATCATTTCTTTCATGTAATTTGAAAGTTTTTGACAAGTTTTTTGGCAGATAATTTTCCACAGATAGCACATTTCTTAAATGTTGGATTTGACATTGGTAATTTCAGTTTATTTATAAGAGCCAGCTGAATGCAATGTTGGGTTGCTTGTTCCATTTGAAGGGACTGTTTATTTCTTGCTTACTTTTTACTTCCCTTGAATGGTGTCATGTGATTACTGATCTCTTGTGCTGCTGTGGAGAAACTCTGGATTTGTTGTTTTAATGTGCCGTTTGATACATTAGCAAGTATACGAAGTGAGATTTTCATGCACTAAATTTATAAATCAATATTAAATGAAATTAAGGCATTTCTTGTTTAATGTCTGGAATTATTATTATGCACTGTATTTTGATTTCTATCAATCTTTGTTCCAAGTTAGTTTGTTTTCTTTCATGAATTGTGACATTTATCCCTACCTATGTTACTCAGAAACTCGCAAGGATTGTCTGAGCCCTTTTTGTGTCTGCTTCCTATCAATTGCATATTAGGTTTTGTGTTGTCAAAATTGATTATTCTGCAGATCTAACAATGTAGGTTTACAGGACTTTTAGGACATTTCTAAATATTACTTTTTTTTGTCTGCAGCTCCAAAACCCCATAGGCCAGTTCGAGTTCCTCAGTTGCAGCTGGGAACGGGTTCTTCTGTAGATCGCTAGGCTCATTCAAAAGTTGATTTTGAATGCCAACTCTATTCTATATGTTGTAATCCCTTGAAGCCAAACAGTTCAATATTTATTATATTTTTTTCCTTTTACCTTCTACCAGCTTGATCAATTCAGTTATGTACAACTCAAAGCGTCATTTCATAATGTCCAATCTTGATCTAATGGATCATTAGTGTCTTTTAAAGCAGATTTTGTTCCTCATCAGAACTTTTGATAGCAAGGACTGTATGTTTGAACATGGTACGTTTTGTCACTGCAGAATCTGACGAACAAATATTTATTCTTTATGTTTGATTCCTTGATCCATTTTTAGTATCACTATTTGCTAATAGAATTTATCTCTTCTAATTTACTTGTTGAAAGAGTAGTACTGATACTTTTTTCAGATGAAGTCGTAATTGAATCACTACCTCTACATTTTTCCATGGCACCTGATACAGTGTATTATTGCTTTTTCAACCCATTTAAATTCTTTTTTCTGGTTACTCTGCCACTTAAGATTCATCATTTTGCTTCGTACGAGAAGAATGAATTATTAACGTTGAATCCTGGATTGTCTATGAACCACACCAGCCAGACTAAAATACTTCAAAAGAGGCAAATATGGTAGAGAAAAGGGATAAAACAGTAGTAGAGAATTTCCTAGATTTTATTTACTAAGATCACAAAATACATGGATCAATAGCCTTAAGTTGCGTAGTTTGGATTTCAACTTGGTTGTTATATGTAAGTTTGGGGTGGCATATAAAGAGTTACATATGACAGAAGTTGTACATACAAAAAATAAAAAATAATAAAAATAGCTATAAATCCAAAATCTTAGAGTGGCCTATTGCAATTAAAGCTGTCAATCAAAGAAGCGTCTTCCGGATTGGAGTTTTGCAGCCTTACTAAAAGAGATTTTATTTGCTATTGTCAGGTTGATGAATAAGGATTTGCTACTGTGTCAGATTTGAATAATATGGCTTGACTTTAGACTAGCAAAAAAACCATTCATTTGGCAAATACGTTAGGATCTCTAAGTTGACTTGCTCCGCCACCATATAAGTTGAGGGAACATTCACATATCCTGGCTTTAGTTCGATCTGTAGCGCGCTGGGTTCACACAATGCTACTTGAATTTATTTTATAGGTTTTCACTATAAATAAAGAATTAGTCAAATATATTATTCACATTTAATGCTTCTCGTTAAGCCATTTTATTTAATGTATTTTCAGACTTTTGGTTATTGTTGTTGTTTTGTGAGAAGTTGTTATCTGTTTATGCTCTTCGAATTGATGCACCCTTTTTTTTGCAAGTGTGTCTGTATTTTGCTCAAGAACGTGTGGTGGATCCTCCTTGGCATCCATATCGCTTCATTTTGCAGTTTTGCTCTGAATTCAGCTGGGAAAGCCGTCGATTGGCCCCAAATCTGCTGTTCCTAACAGATTTCATTGCTTATCTTCTTCCAAATTCTTCCACAAACACCTCCTCACTAAATCAGATTCCCTAATATCGTATAGGAGCCCTAGAACGGTATCAACCAAGATGTCAATTTATCCACATTTGAGCTCTCTCAGAAATTATAAGTTTGAAACAAAAGCATTTATTCTAGAAAATTCTCCTTTAGTTCCTGTAGCACCTTTGGCTCTTTCGTATTCAACTTTTACAACATGAGGTTCTTGAAAAAGAAATAAATGTTCCAAAGATTAAACTAATGTTATAAAAGAGAATATTATAACTAATTTGCTTTTTATGTGTAAAAATGAAGACGGTTCTTCAAAAACGAAGGAACTTATAATTGAGGTAGATAACGAGAAATGCAAAGCTCGAGATTTGGTAGTTTCACAGCAGTGCTTGTATACAAATTTGTTTTGAAAAGGAAATTCAGAAATATTTATTTTATTTTATTTTATTTTGGTAGTGGCATTTACGGTTTTGTAGTCGACAGTGGAGGGTTGCGCTAGGTAGTCGACCAGTGTAAAACTTGTCAAAAAAATCATGACATGAATTTTTTTTATCATTGTGTAACTGCTAGGGCGTCCCCTAGAAGTGACGTGTTGTATGACTAGAATAAAGTTGTTGACCTCACTTTTAGTTGATGACTAGTTTTTCTTCTTTAGCAGCTTATGGTTTAGTCATAAGACTTTCTTGTTGACTATTCCTAGAAGACTAGAAAAAAACCCTCACCATTAGAAATTCTATACTCTTTTTTGCTCAATTTGAAGTTCCACATTTTGGTCCTAACCTCTAGCACTTAGTAGGTGGGTTCAATATGGAGGAGCTCAAGGGAGTTCCCATGTGACTGTTTGGCCTTAAGTTCAACCCTCTGGTGGTGTGGTCTTGATCAGTCACACACACACACTTGCACATTACACTTCCATTCACAACCTTAAACCCTAGCCTACCTGCTTAATTTTGATTCCTTGACCCTTTGGGAGACTCGTGTGGATGGTCTCTAGACCCACTAGCCCTAGGCTAGGGTTTAGCTAAGAACAGTATATGAATGACCCAAAGTAGAGAATTCTATTGGTCCATGGATTAAGTAGGGTGGTTGACACGCCAATTTTACTAAAATACCAAACTTAGCCTTTTTCCCCCAAATCTACCCAATTTATCAAATTGCCCTTGAAACTCTAAAATTGGCCAAAATTCAAAAAATTACCAAAAACATCCAAATTGCTCAAAACACCCCAAAATTACCAAAATATCTCTCATATGACCAAAATTATCAAAATGCCCTTGGTGACCCAAATTGTTCCAAAACCTTCAAAAACACTACAAATGTCCCTAAAATCAATTTGAACCACTCCATTGAGCTCAATCTGACCAATTTGACCTATTTTGACCAAAAGCCCCAAATTGCCTTTAAAGGCCCAATTACCCTAATTCACCCCCAATGTCCACCAATTTGATTCCAATTCTTCCCAATTTCAATTCCAAACTCAAATTGATCATGTCCAAGCTTGATTGAAGCCAAATCTAGACCCATTTGACCCACATTTGAATCCAACTTCAACCAAAATAAAAAAGCCCCAATTGGACCCAAAACCAAAATCTCACTCAATTGAACCTCCAAACCTATCCAATTGCCCCAATTTTGAATCATAAAATCTTCAAAATACTCCTTCACATCAAATTAAACTTTTAATTGGCCTTGGTCAAGTCTCAATTTCACTCAAAATCAACTTGGACCAATACTCCCAATTTTGTCCCAAATTAACCATGTCCCCAAATTCAACCAAATTGAACCCTAACCTCAAAATTTTCACTCAATTTCTATCCAAAACTCTTCATGACAATCCTTAGGACCAATTTGAACCATCAATTGGGCCCTTGCCAAACTCTAACCAAACTCAAACCCAAGTCTAACCCAATATACCCAAAATTGACCAAATGTCAAAATTCCTTCAAATTGAACCTCCAAATCAATTCAAAATCACTCCAAAGCTTTTCTAAAATCCTTGTGACAATCGTCTACACCATCTTAATCAATCAATTGAGCTCAATGTTATGGCTAGCTTATGGCTAGCCAAAGCCAAACCCAACTCCAAGCCAATTTGACCCAAATTGAACTCATGCACCAAAATTGACCAAGCCATGCCAAAGTGGTCAACTTAAGACCACTACAACCACCAAGTGAACTCTAGTGGTCAGGCTAGATCCATCTAGCCCACCCTATGTGAGCCATGGACGAAAGGTCCCCTAAATTAAGGGATTCCTTTCCTAAAATACTTAAACCAAGGAGATCTTTGCCAAAACCCATCACCAACCCAAATTAATTATTGTCACAGATTCTCCTGAGGTTTCTGCGCTACCTGAGCACCTCCTCTACTCTGGCCAACCACCCTGGTCACCGGAGGAGCCAAAATCGAGAGCCCCCATGCCTCAATCCAAACCCAATTGCAACCATCCAAGCTAGCCAATCCTGATTGGTCTTTGACACTTTGCATCCCTCCACATAAGCTACTGATTGCACCCATTAGTTGGCCCTGAGCTCCAACCCAGACCTTTCTGTTTAAACCAACTCCTCCATGGTCAAAAGATGAACTAACTAATTTCCTTGGGGAGACTATCCAATTGCTTCCAGACATTCTCCAAGAACTCTTAAGCTCAAGCCCATCATTTTCCCTATCTAGATTCCCCTGTAAGAGCTCAACTTTGAGTTCAAATTTCAGGGAAAAATGGGACATATTTCCCCATACCTCCACAGTCCCCCGAAGTTCAATTAAACTTGCACACACCATCCCCACCCTCTGAGTGAGAGGAGTTGATTCCCCACAAAAGCCCCATCACAGAGAGTCTCTAACCTAGCTCTAGACCAATACCTGAAATCAGCATTGGTCGAAATCATACCTAGGAAATTCACCACAGCCCAGGACATCATCTGGAGGTTCGTTGGACTCATTCAAAGCTACTACAACCATCTAATTGAGGCCTCCCATCTCACATAGAGGTATTGAGCCTCAACTCTAAACCGAGCTTAAATTGATTTTTCATATGTATTTACTGTATTTCATACTGTATAAACTGTATTAATTTGTTCGTTTTAAGTAGATAAAGGTGTAGGAACAGACCCGAAATGATTTGGTTGTCTAGCTCTAGATCTTAAGGTTATAGTGCAGACGACTTACGGGTTAGGTCATTTGCGGACGATAACCCACAACCGTCCGATCGCGCGTGTATCGTTTGAACGGCTGAGATCGCGCTGGATGGACTCTTGGTACGTGAATCGCGAGACGCGTGGTGCTGAGCTGGCCGACGACGTCAAATAGCAAAGCACCGCATGGAAAGCTCGGAGAGGACGAGGTTGCGCTGGCGTTGACTAGTTTAAATAGAAAAATCTAGATTTGTATGATTTATTTAAATGCCAGAACTTCAAAAAATCCATGTCTTTGCATAGAAAAATCATAAAAATAAATAAATAAATACCCTCTTGCTCTATGAATAGTGGAGAATAATGTGGACCAAAAATAAAAATTATTTATTGACTCTTTAATTTTTAATTAATTAAATACTCTTTAGGGTATTTCAATGCATTATGACTAAGCATTGCTCATTTACGATCAAGCATTGCTCACCATGGCTTGAAATTTTTAGGGTTCATTCCTCATGACAGAGACTATGTTCTCTGATTTTTCCAAGGTTAGAGGACATGTCTGTGCTTCTAACCCTAATTTTCAAGATAACATGGATATTTTGGCTTTAATTTAATTACATAAATTGAAATATCACTTGGAAAATTATGGGATAAATTTTAGTAGGTTTCTTGTGGTCATAA